CCACAGAGTAGGCCTAGGTAGAGTGGCGCACGCCTTTAATTCCAGCACTTAGAAGGCAGAGGCAGACGAATCTCTGTGAGTTTGAGGACAGCCTGGTCTACAGAGTGAGCTCCAGGGCAGCCAGAGCTGTTACGGAGAAACCCTGCCTCAAAATAAATTAATTAAATAAATACAATCATGAGGCAAATCACTAGAGACTTGAAAATTAAACACCCACTTTTTTCAAGCTTCCAAAATTTGTCATTTGCAACCTCTCCAAACCCCCATGATGAGATAGATGCTGGAGGAGAGAAGCCGCCCCCAGAGCACACTGTCACAGCCTCCGGGAGCGCCCGCCCACTAATCCCTTGGTCTCCTCTTTCCAAGGTTTCACAAGCTACTGCCAGGCATTTGGCGTTCAGTTTGCTGGAGAACGGGAATAGAATTAACATACCGCCGAATTTTAAGAGGAGGATATCCTGCTCCCCCAAAGCTAAGTGCTTGTCTCTTCTTCTTGTGCCTAGAGAAAATCTTTTGGAACAAGATTATACCACTCTTTTTAAAAAGAGACATGATTACTAAAAAGAAATAAGAGAATAAGCTTTTATTTAGAAGTTAAATGTGGTTTTAGTCATTTGGTTCCCAATCTCTACTATGGCTTTTATGACTAATGAGATGATTTAGGTCTTTTAAAATTTTGCTTTTTGTTTGCTAGCATACGTTATTAAAACAATGTCATCCCACATTAATCCCTGAATAAAACACACTTTAAAAACCTCCTCACGTAGGTTTTTTTTTTCCTCAGCTTCAACTCAGATATTACTAAAAAATAAATTTGGTTAAAAGAAAAAAAAATCTCCTGATTGAACTTATTATTTATGTGAAACTTGAGAGGTCAGAGGAAGAAATCTCTTTGATCCTACATTAAACCCTCTGTCTAGATGCTAGGAATACAACAGTCAATGAGACACAAGGCCTGTGCTTTCCGCGGTGGAGGAACACAGATGTGGGGGCAGTGTGGCTATGACCTCTCTCACTCTGTCGCTCACCAGGGTTGATTCGGCTGATCTGGCTGGCTCCGTGCGTGTCCCCTCCCTCCCTCACACTGTGTGTATAGTGCGTGTCCCCTCCCTCCCTCACACTGTGTGTATACCCCTCCCAAAGCTGCAAGCACAGAACCATGTAAAGACATCGTTTGCCTAAGATGCTATCCTCTAAAGGTAAACAAAACTTGGCAAAGAGTATCCGGAAGAGAGCGGCTGAAGCTCATTTTCCTCTCCCCCTTCGTCCCACGAGCAACCTCCGAGGTTCTGCAGGAACACAGCACAAAGAACAACACAGGCCTGAGGGACAGCACTGCTCTCTCAATGCTGGATTGTTCCCTTCTAGTGTTGGGAAGGAAGTGAGCTGAAAGCCCCAAACAGTTTCAAACAAAATCTCTTTACTGGAGACTTCAAAAGAAAAAAGTGAAATCAACCCCAGTCTCGAAAGAGTGGGTATGAGTCGGATCAAAGTTTGAGTAGAAGGTGGATTTAAAGGGCTCATGTGAGGCTGGATTGTTAAATGTGGCAGATATTAAATAAGGCAAGATTAGCTATATGTTAGTTAATCAATAATAAAAGAACTGGACAAAATTATCTACTCCTATCAGACCTCCAATCATACAGTTCTGAACCAGGGGATGACTGATTCTGACAGGAGAAACACGCCCATTAAAGGAGAAATCTTTGGTCTCAATTCATGGTGTAGCAAGGAAGAAAAGAAGGATGTTTTTATTTGTCTTAACTTTGCAACGTATAAGGCTACTCAGTCTAGACATATCTGAGAGGCAAAAACTCACCAACCGGAGGAAGTTAAACTTACAGGAATATGTTTGGAGTGAGCTGGAAAGTGTGTGCCACGGAGGCCAGTTTTACATTTGTTATTTAAAGCAAAGCCTAGGAATGTGTGGGGAAATAGCTCCACAGCATTCTTCTGGATGAGAGTCTGCACGGCCAGGCTTGTCTACTGCCTGCAGCTGAGGCCTTCTGGAACCCAGCTTGAGTGTGGCAAGACATTCAGGACGAAGAGGATCCTACATCTGACCTTCTCAAGGACCAAGGTAGGGCTTTCTTCCGTTTTCAGAAGACATGACCCACAAGCATATAGCCAAGCCTGTATTACCATGTGAAGAAGCATGCCTTCCTTCCCCAGTGGAGACCAGAGAGGGGGACAGGCATGTGTTATAATGTACTGGATGTTGGATGCACACACCCATGCATGTGTACACAGGCCAGAAAACTGGGTGTCCTTTATCACTCTTGACTTACTCCCTTGAGACAGAGTCTCTCATTAGACCTGGAGCTACTCTGGTAGCCAGCATGCTCCCAGTGACACTCTTGCCTTTGCCCATGACAGAGCTGGAAGAAGAGGAACATGAGACCACATCTAGCTGGAAAAGACTGACTCTTGTTTATATATATCTATATGTGTGTATATATATACATATATATCAATGCCTAGTTATATATAAACTATATATAAAACTATATATATACATATATATATATCTCGGCATTGATCAATCTGTTAGTAACATCTGCTTCCTTAGGAAAAGGGAAAAAACACGTGGCAATGAGAGGGTTTTCCCCAAAGTCACAGTAACAGAAATTAAAAGGCAAACCAAGACGTAATTCACTTAGCAGCCACAATTATCTTTGTTTCTTCCCCTTTTCATAATTCCTTTTTCACAATTATTCTCTATGCAGTTTAGGAAGGGGCTGTAACAATTCTTTCTTCCCCTGCAGTGTGCTTCGTCGTTAATAAAGTGAGGTCATAGTCAAGAACTCCTTTGATCTACAAGACAACTCTGCTTTCTCTGACAAACTGGGAAACTGGAAACTGATACCAGCAAATGTCAATCACTTTCCCAAGGTCATCAGTGTCTGAACCTGAATCTCCGCCTTCTAACTCACGTCTGCATTCCAAATCACCACAGCTGCCAACAGAAAAAGAACAAGGGAAGGAGGGAAGCCTATTTATATAAACACAGCTCTTGCTGGAAGGGCTTCCAGAATAACCAATATCAATTTTTAAAACATACAAAGAGACTCTGGCCAATAGAATAATGCCACGCCACGAGAAAAAAATGTACGCCCTGCTTCCCAGAATCTTCCCAAGGGAAGATCAATGGAAAATCACATGACCTAAAAGACTTGGCAGGTGTGAACAACTGCAGCACCTTGAGATGTCTGGGTGTATCCGCAAGGAGGCAGGGCAGCCCATCAGTAGAGGGAGGCAGCACTGAATCCTGCGGACACTGCTGGCCTTAGCTGAACAAACGAGGAACAAGCTGCTGGCCTCCCCGTTGGCTCCAAGAGAAAGGTAGACTTGATGACTGCCCGCTGAGGTTCATTTTAGATGCCTAACTCCTCGGACTGAAGGCAATAATAAATACGTGTTGTTTAAGAACATCTAGAGGCTGAAAGGAAAGCTCAGAGGCTGTGTCCCCACACCAGGTCCTGAGTTCAATTCCCAGTAATAAAAGAGAAGGGAACTACAGTTGAGATAACTTATGACATCAGCCTTAGGAAACTAACCCCGGCTAGGACAGAAAACAGAAGGTGCCAGACTGCACCAGCCTGCTGTATGGATGTCTCCAGGCTCATCGTTACCCGTGCAGTGCTTTGCTACATGGATATAAACGCACCACATGCGTGCCTCAGACCCACAGAAGTCAGAAGAAGGCGTCAGAACCCTTGGGACTACGGTTACAGATGGCTGTGAACCACCATGTGGGTGCTAAGAACCAAACACCAGTCCTCTACAAGGACAGCAAGTGCTCTTAACTGCTGAACCATCTCTCTGGCTCGCCAGGCGGATCTCTGTGAGTTCGAGGCCAGCCTGGTCTAGAAGAGCTAGTTCCAGAACAGGAACCAAAAAGCTACAGAGAAACCCTGTCTCGAAAATCAAGAAGAAAAAAAAAAAAGAATACACCAAAATAAATGCATATAGGAGCCTGAACATCTTATTCCAACGATGTAAATGTAAAATTTAAATTATCTCTCATCTTCTTGAGTTTAACTTCTTTTTACTGCCACCACCTTGATTGACATTGAAATCCATTCTAAAAATTAAATTATACTGCTATCAGTAATACAACATAATTTTTCCCAATATATTTTAGATAGAATTTTGTTGATTTTTTTTAAGCTAATACTCAAAATGATTCCTCAACTTTTGGTGTTTTTTGGGTTTTTTTTGTTTTGTTTTGTTTTTTTTTTTTTTGATTTTTGCATCACACCAAACATGGGATACATTCAAGATTAGAGAAGTTATCTCTAGTGGTCAGTGAGTCATGCCTCAGTTTGGATCCCAGAAAAACAGCACAAATCTCTCATGTTCCTGAGAGCTCCCTCTTCCCAGAAGAGATATAAACTTATCCTAATAGGCTTTCCCAAAATGTCTACATATTGACACTGCCGATTTAAACTGGAAGACATCTAAAACAACGGAGATACACAGATTGCTGCAAAACACACAGAAATCACGTCTACAGATCCCTCTCCCTGTGGATGTGGGGTTGTGGTGCTGAGCTGCTGCTTTTTAAAAAGATTTGTTTACTTTTATTACGTGTATGATATTTATTATGTGTCTCGTCAGCACACAGGTTTGTGCATGGCTGGTGCCTTCCTAGGTCGGAAGAGGGCACTGGATCCTCTGGAAATGGTGTTACATATGGCTGTCAGATGCCAAGGGGGTCCTGGGAACTGCCCCATCCTCTGTGAGAGCAGCAAGTGCTCTCAACCCCTGGGCCATCTCCCCAGCCCTGTTGCTACATTAAAACAAAAAATAGAACAAATGGGCCCAAGTACGGTGGCTTCTGATCCATGCTGCTAGAAGACAGAGACAGGAAGATCTCTGTAAGTTCGAAACTAGCCTGCGAGTTCTAGGCGACCCAAGGATACATCATGAGACCTGCCTTCAGAGCAGAACGACCAACCACATGTCTGAACAAAGAGAACGGACAAACCGAGGCTTACCTGTCGAATCGAATTCGATGGGCTGGCAGCGGCGGCTGGATGAGCACTCACATTTGAGGACCTGCCCTCCTTCCACAATCCCAGGCTGCGTTGTGTTCGCCTTCGGGGCTCCCACCAGGAGAAACGTCCTGCTAAAACACCAAAGGGCAGGTGATATTTCAAATGACACAGAGCAGAAGGTTTATATTATGATTTATGACCAAACATTATGCTGGAATTATCCACAAATACTTTTAAAAACTATTTTCGAAACTGGGCAGTGGTGGCGCACACCTTTAATCCCAGCACTCGAAATGCAGAGGCAGGGCGGATCTCTGTGAGTACAAGGCCAGCCTGGTCTACAAAGCGAGTTCTAGGGCAGCCAGGGCTGTTACACAGAGAAACCTTGTCACAAAAAATAAAATTTAAAAATTAAAAAAAAATTTCTAAGAACCAAACCAAAAAAAAATTATTATTTTTGAATGGCATAATGTCCCATTATAAAATAATTTCTGCTGTATTCACTTTAAAATGTGTATTATCCAAACTGTGCATCTTAATTCTTTTAGGTTTATTTATTTATGTGAGTGCTTTGCCTGAATGTATGTCTGTGTCCATTTGTGCCTGGTGTTGAGTGGGACCCTGGCGGGTCCCAGGACAGGTGGTCCAAACTGCAGTGGCTGACAAGCACACCATGCAGACAGAGTTCGAGTGTGGAGTTTATTGAGATAAAGGGAATAAGAAGGGAAGAGAAAATGGAGAAGGGGGGACAGAAAGCGGCCTCAGAGAAAAAAGCGGAAAAGGAAGGGAGGGGAGCGGGGCAGAGCTTGTCTCTTAAAGGGTCCTCGCCACCTGAGTAGAGTCAGGGACCTGCTTGCCATGCACAGAGGGGTGACACACTGTGCCAGGTTCCCAAGGGAGGGGGCCGAGGTATGCCTGGATGCTAACACCTGGTACCTAAGGAGTTCAGAAGACAGTGCTTGTTAGATGGCCTGGAACTGGACTTCCAGGATCCAACCCCAGACCAAGTGTCCTAGATGTTGACACCTGGTACCTAAGGAGTTCAGAAGACGGTGCTTGTTAGATGCCCTGGAACTGGACTTACAGGCTCCAACCCCAGACCATATGTCTTAAACACATAAGAGATGTTGGGCCAGTGACACAGTAATGGCGATTGATGCCATCTGCAGACCTGAGCTCTATTTCCAGAAGCTATATGGCAGAAGAAAGACTGACTCCTGGAAGTTGTCCTCTGACCTCCATGCATCTTTGCCATAGTCCACTGCCTACACACACACACACACACACACACACACATGCATGTTTGCCTACACAAACATATGTATGTTTGCCATAGTCCATGTGCCTACACACACATGCTCTCTACTTTTTTCCTAAATCCCTCTCCCCCCCTCCCCTTTTTGAGACAAGGTCTCAGCCTATGTCTCTGCCTCCCAGTCCAGAGATTAAAAGCATGCACCACCACATCCAGCCAACTTGTGTTTTCTATTCATTCAAAAACTAATGTGGAGGCTTGAACATATTTACTGCATCGGACTCAGTTCTGGCACTAAAGATGCCTGTTCTAGACATGGCCCTCCCACAAGAAACCAGCCAACCAACAAATCACTTGACCTAAGAGCCATGAAGGAGACAAGAGGCTGAGAGAAGATTTCCTGGAAATAAGGCCAGCAGGCCTTCCATAGGGAAAGGAAAGTCACAGCTCTCCAGGAAGGGATCATAGGAGAATAGAAAGAGAGACCCTTTGGAGATAAAGTCATTGGGGAAATGATCGGTAGGGATCTCCCAGTGAAGCGAGAAGAACCTGCTTAGGCAGAGGAGAGTGCCTAAGAGGTTGCTGTAGGAGGGGGTGGGGGGAAGGGACGAGGTGGGTGGGAGCCCCCTAAGTTCTGCCTAAATATCCTGGGTGTGAAAGCACTTAGTCTCCAGGACAGAAGAGACGAGCAGTGAGCTGAGCTGGGAGTGGCCCAAAAGAGCCTGGGAGTCCGCAAAAGCTAAATGGTGAAGTGCCTGCCTTCCAGACGTAGAAAACCAGTTTTACCTCAGTTCCATTTAAAAGTTTAGAGGGGTGACTTTCTGGTTTTTAGAAACAAAGTGGATCAAAGACAGCAAGCTCAGGGAGGGAACGGTGACCACCGATCCTGGCCAGAGGAGATGTGGAACATGAGAAGCACTACCTAAGGGTAGAACGGACAGAGAGAGACAGCACCAATGACTTTGAACGTAGAACTGGAGAAGACAGAAAATGTCACCCAACTCTTCACATTCCAGCGCGCTAGTCAAGAAGGTGAGGGAGAGGAAGGCAGATCCCAGAAAAACACGGACTCAGATCCCAATCTACCCAATCGTGACGTCAGTCTGAACAGAGGTCCTAGAGAAATAAGGTGTTGAAAGACCCAACACAGCGGGGCAGTGGTGGCGCACGCCTTTAATCCCAGCACTTGGGAGGCAGAGGCAGGTGGATCTCTGCGAGTTCACAGCCAGCCTG